AGTGTGATAGCTCAGTTTTTGAGTGGATAATTTTGTGGAGATGAGTGTCGCAGACACCTGCCAAACAAGACAGCTTCTCAGACATACCCATCTGTAAGCCTGAATATTCTTCGTAAAGGTGCTATTGATAATATTAGCCACTAGAGATCACACCTTCGCCTCGGCCATTGCATTCACGTGACGTCACTACCACCATTTTGAAATGCTACATCATTTTTACATACCAGATACAAACATGTTTGGGGTCTTTGGATGCCTACATGACTCACTTCACAGTGAACACTTACCTCCTCTTGTGTTGCATCCACAGCTAGAGAGTTGGGGTCCTGGACGTTGCCTGTGTAGTTCTGAAACACTCCACTGAGGGGTGCTATCTCTGAATCCAGCTAAACAAAAACACAGTAGACACAAAAAACAAACATGCAGTTTTCCCCCAGAACAATCAGCAGTGTCATGACGGCACAACTGTCCAGTGCAAGTTAAATTTATGGTAACTTTTATACCCGTGTAGAGTGAAAATAAGCCAACGCTGAAGCTGTACTCTCCAGACAAAAGACCAACATCAGCAGATAAACAAACTGGGGAAGAAAACACATCATTATGTAGAGTCCAAACACTGATGCACACAGATTCCCACGGTCACACACACAACCTTACCAGTCCCTGTCGAAAGGTGGAATCCCTGAGGCTCAGCCAGGTGCCAAGGCACCCGCTGACCAGCAGGAACGCAGCGCTGGTGAGAGTGAGGATAGCTGGCAGGGTGATGTAGCTGTCAGAGAAAAATACGCTGCTCTGTCTGTAGTATATCAGCAGGTAGACTCCATTCAGGCCCACCACCAACCCCACCACCTGGGAAATAAAAGAATCTATTATGACAGAATGATTTAAGTTTTAATTTTCACTGTCGCAGATAAATTTCCAATGAGTAACATCATGAAAGTTTTGGTGCGCGCGCCTGTGATCTTGACCATTTGGTGTAAGGTGGTCATAAAACTCAGTCCAAGCTGTCTTAAGTCAGTCTCTCTCTCGTCTTGGCATTGACAAAATCAAACATGTTTAATATAATTGTAAGTTTTTAGTCGTAACTCATAAGCAGCCAGATTGTATTGTCTTGTCACATGATCAAATAGAGACTTGACATTAGACATTAGCATACATGTTACCCAACAATCATCATTGCATACTTGTAAGCATACGATTTGTTTTAAATTGCTATACTGACTATTTTACAAAAAAAAGAGAGAGAGAGAGAAAAGAAAATCATGATGGAGTTGGGTTTGCATTTTTGAGGGAATACAGCCCATATCAAATGGCACCATTTTTTAATTTAATGTGAGTCCTATTTTAAACGCAGGCGTAGCTCCACGGCAACCTGGTCCCACTCCGAAGTCGTCAAAATCCGACGCTTGGGCAGTGACTTGCGGCATCAGACACTGACGAAAAAAGCTGTCCTTTAACGTCAGCATGATAAGCAGCCAGTGGCCGTTATAGTTTAACGGCGCTTGTTGGCATCAGGGGATACATCCTGTAAGATTATAAAGCCAGAACCTGTTCTTTTTTTTCTGAAACCTAACCACATACGTTTGTTGTTGGAGGACAAAAATATCAATTTGCGGTGTTGGACTGATGGGGTGCACTTATTTTGAAAGAGACTGTGTAAACGGTAAATTTCCTGCGAAAATGGAAGTGTATTTTGAAAGAAGGCTGCAAGTGACAGGCAGAGCTTACCACGGCGTCCCAGAACGTCTACAACTAACACCCAGGCTACCTTGCACGTCGTATCAGGACGTGGAAAATCCATGACCAAATGTCGATATGTGACGAGGTCAGTGTGAGAATGTGTGGGCGATGGTGGCAATCTGAATCATTAGCAAGGCCCCTCCACCACCCTATGGGTGCCAGTGCATCCACACTGCCTGCACTGTCTATGTTTACGCCCCTGGTGGGCATAACCTGCAGGGTTGGGGGAATTCTGTTGCTCTGGAAATGATCACACAAATTAGCATCAAAGTTTGGGCATAAGTGAGTTGGTTTCTGTTTGCCCTCAAGCTGTGTGTGCCCCGTTATTTGTTAATGTTATTAATTATATCTAAGAGGTCAAATAGTCCCCACAGAACATTATTTCATAATCAGAACTGAGTTGCATGACTGCCAAACGAGCCAATCAAAAAATATAAAAACAAAGATAAACATAGCCATGTAAAGTGAAAAAAAAAATACACAGGTGACATTATGAAGTTAAGGTAAGACATGTGTGTTCAATAAGTTTTAGAAACTGTGTGTGCTCTGCTTTGTTCGCACGGATTACCTGGTTCCGGTCTCCCAAACACACGCGCACCCACGCACTTTTGTGTCATGTGATATGGGACATGTGAGACTCTGCTTGTAACTCTGCTGTTGTTATCTTAATAAGTATGTAGATTAAATATCAAGAATTGGCATATTTGTTATTATATTATCATACACGATGATTATTGTCAATATTTAGTGGCAGAATACAGAAACAATTCAAGATGGAGTGAAGACTGACAAAGTTACATACCCACAGAAGTTGTGACGTCAGCTGAAGTATTGTTTTCAGCGCTTTTCTTCTCTGATCGCTCATTTTGGAGCGAGCGCGCAGTCATTCATCCACGCAACCTGTAGATGCGCTAACATGAAGATGGCGCACTTAAACCTGAACCATGGAGCCTTTATGTGAAGAAAATGCAATCTGCATGCTGAAGCGGAGGAGGGCAGGAGGCATGTGATGTTTCATGGCGCTGTAGACTACAATAACTTTGCTTCCGCGACGGCCAGAGATCAACTTCCCCAAAGAACGCGGATATTGTGCAACACTTTATTGTACTGTGATAACAGAGGTGGAATCAGCACTGATTTGTATAGTCATATGACTCCAATAAAGAAGAGCAGGTCTACACCCTGCACAAGACCTGCGCATGCTGTGACGCTTCACTTGTGTCTGTGAAGTCGTGTTCCTGGACCAAAACAAACAGGTCCCGCTATATCGACGAAATGGACAGCCACATGGTGACGCTGTTTCCACGTCCAATAGGCCTAGGCCCACTGGTCCAGTCAGACATCTTCTAACATGGTTCCTGACATTAAATTCTCACACACAGGATGATACGTCAGGAGAGGCAAGGTCCAAAACCAGATGCAGGAGGTTCAGGACTGACGGCAGGAGCACGTCTGCAGTCACCAGCAAAATGTGTCCCTTTGCCTCCATTATATTAAAGTGAGAGCAGTCAGTTCAAACTGGAACAGGTCCATGATGAAGTGGAAGAAGAAGCTGAGGGAAAATAAAAGCAATCAAAGTTAGCCAGCTGTCTGCTCCTGCAGACAGCTGGCTGGGAGAGAAGCTCAGTGCTGCTGGGTGGAGGAGGAGGAGGAGGAGGGGATTTGAAACTCAGGTTATCACAGCAGGTGCCACGCATCAGCAATTAGGGCTGGTATTATGAAACAGCAGATAATGGAATGAATGAAATACATAATCATTCATCATCTCTTTTAACTTTTTTAAAAAGTTCAATTATACGCTATCCTTGGGGTTTTTAAAACAGCAAGAACTCTCCAGCATCAATCTCATTTAACTGCACGTCTAAGACTGTGTCTTAAAGCCTATAGCCAGACAATATGGTGCACTACTGGTTGTTTTAAAGTGTTAAAGTGTTTTAGCTTGTGCTTGGTGAGGTTACTGTCAGCTCTGTGTTCAGTGGTCTGTGTCAGAGTCTCTTCCTCTTCAGCAGCTGCAGTCGGTTCCTGCTGTAACAGCTCAGTGTCTCTGCAGTCTGACTGAGGGAGGTTTTTGTACCACCATAAATCACTGTGTGAACACCCAAGCACTGTTGATGTAGTGTGCACTCTGACAGTAATAAACTGCTGCATCTTCAGTCTGAACTCCACTGATGGTCAAAGTGAAGTCAGAGCTGCTTCCACTGCCACTAAACCGAGCTGGTGTTCCTGATTCACGTGTGCTCACAAATTTTATTAGGAGCTTTGGAGGCTGTCCAGATTTCTGTTGATACCAGTGCATATAATCTCCATAACTAGAGTCTCTGTAAACAGCTTGGCTGGTCTTACAGGTGAGAGTGACAGTGGATCCTGGAGTAAATGTCACCACTGGAGGCTGAGTCACAGTCACCTGAGCGCTGCATCCTGCAGACAAAAACAAATCATTCATTTATCAGCAGAAATCAATGAGAGAAAAGGCAGCACATCATGTTTGAAATGTTGCTGAGTGAATGAACCTGTGAAACAGCAGCAGGCCAGCGTCCAGATGAGGATGGTGATGAGAGTCATGGTGCTTGTGCTTTCTGCTGTGTTGACTGACACATCTGAGTCCTGCAGTGTTGAACTCACAGGACTATAAACCTTCTCACTTCACTGGAGGATCAGCTGACCATGCAAAGCCTCCTCTCTATGGAAATCATTTCTCTGCTCTCAACACACTCAAGGCAACGTGGGACACAAAATCAGGAGGAATACTGCTTGGATTTACACCATCTATCATCTTAATGGAAAAGAAGAAAAGATTTATATTACAAGTGCAGTTGAGGATTTAAGGACAAGTTTGTGTTCACTGTGCTTGGTATGATATGTCTGTTTGTCTGCCTTTCATTTACTCACAGGGTTTAATGGAGATAAATTATATGTTTATATTCATTTTAATATTAGTTTGAAATCATTATTATTTAAAATGCATCATGGGTATTTGACCATGTATTAACTGATATAAAACTGTGAAGAAAAATGACTTTTTTTACAAACAGACTGTAATCATTTCTCTGTCAGGTGTAGAAAAGTAAAGAAAAACTCAAGAAATAATCTTTATTTATACAATATTTTCATTCCATGTCATTAAAGAAGCTTTATAGATTCAGTAAAGTTTAATTTTCTCTCTGTAATTATAAAAATCAGAGAGTATTTTCAGTGGATAGATGCTTGTTCACAGTGCAGGAGGTTTTTGTACGGCCACTTAATGAGTTTGTATCACTGTGGTACACTTTTGGTGGAGGAACCAAACTCGTCGTTGACTGTAAGTACCAGAGATTTTATTTCATTTAATTCAATATATAGCTGATAGAACTATTTTTAAGTATTGAATGATCCTCTGATCAAATTAAGTGTTTGTACGTTTATGATTTTTTTTGTTATTTGATCAATCTGATGAGAAATTGTAGAAACCAAAATTATCTCAGCATTTTCTTTGAATTTAAAAAGAAAAACCATGAAATAACAATTTTCTTATTTTTTTCATAGTAATATTGAATTTTTTGTCTCTTAAAAAATGTTTCAAAGTAACAGTTGTTCAAGCCAGACCTTGAACCCTCAAAAAAATTACTAGATTTTGTTTTTTATTCATTGATTTGGAAATTTAATTTCTAAAAATTGAATTATAATCTGATGTGGATTCTGTTAAACACAAAGATGTTTTTCTCAGTAAATGTAGTTTATCTTTGTGTTCACGGTTCAGTCATTTTCCATGTAGTGAAAAGGAAGTGAAAGAGACAGATGACAAAGGTTTTAACTGTATTCACATGAGTGTTTCAGCTCTGTCAGTTTCAACAGAAGAAAATCATCACAGGGACGAGTTATTCACTGTCACACATTATGAAACACATATGAAGATGTCATCAATAATCATTATCAATCAAGCTTTTTAGTCTCACTTGAATCATGTGGCTGATGGTCTGATACTGAGTGATTTATGAGTGCAACAGCAGCACAAGTTATTCTGTTTGATTTGATCAAATGTAAGAAATGAGCAGGATGTGATTTTTCTTTATTACCAAGCCTTCACTCTCATTCCTTTGTCTTTTCTCCCCCCTCTCCTCCCCCCTCTCTGTCTCCTCCAGTGGGTGTGGTGCGGCCCACCCTGACCGTCCTCCCCCCCTCCAGAGAGGAGCTGCAGCAGGACAGTGCCACACTGGTGTGTGTGGCCAGCGGGGGCTTCCCCTCAGCCTGGAGGCTGGGCTGGAAGGTGGGGGGCTGCAGCAGCTCCTCAGGGGTGTCACACAGCCTGGAGGTCCTGGGGAGGGACGGCCACTACAGCTGGAGCAGCACCCTGAGCCTCCCTGCAGACCAGTGGAGGAAGGCGGGCTCAGTGAGCTGTGAGGCCAGTCTGAATGGACAGAGCCCTGTCACTCAAAGCCTGGACCCTGACAGCTGCTCAGAGTAGAGAAACAACAGAGTCTCTGCTCAGTCAAATTCTGCTTTTACAAACAAATCCAACCTGCTGTAATTAACATGTGATCTGCTGCCATTCTGCTTTCATGTGACTTCATGTCTTTATTTGAACATTTATACATCGTTACAGTCACATGCTGTCGTCTTTGAGGTTTTGAAACAGAAATAAATATTTCATGCGCTTATGTCTGGTGGTCCTTTTTATTGTTTCATTTCTTAAGTGTGGATGAAGTTAAAATGAATCATTGCTGGGTTTGGTTAAATATCTGCTGCTGCTTCTTTCATGGAGGAACAAAAACTGCATTGAAACCTTTTGCTGGGGAAAAGTATAGAAATCTATTATTAAAGTAAAACATGAACTGAAATAAATGAAAAAAGCATCAACACTTTAAAGAAATAAAGAACATTATTGTCAAGAAAATCACAGCAGCATAAGATTTGTAGTCGTAGTTATGTTTGGCTGACTGACTTCAACATCACTGTTAAGAACATGAGTCAGAAATATTCTACTGAGAAAGGTTAGACAGGTATAGTGTTATAATATTAAAGCTGTACAGCAAATAAATGACCATGTTATCCTGTTAATATGATAATATAATAATCATTTTGTATATTACAAACTCTTCATACATCAGGACTGTCCAAATGAGTCCTTTTTACTGTGTTTGGTTGATTCATGTTTGAATTTGTAAAGAGCTGGAAGAACAGCAACCAAGCCCCTGAGTACCAACATTTCTGTCAGGATTACAGCAGCAGCTGGTGAAATCATAACAAGAACTGGGAAAAGTTTATGAGATAGAGTTAACAGGAATATTCAGGAGCTTGTTAGTTTGGGCCCAACTCCTAAAAATAGCATGTAGCTCCTCTGAACATGATGGCCTGAGAATCAAAAGCAAAATCGTTTGGGCCGAGAAATTAGAACAAAGTTGTCACTGGCTTTGGGGTAAATGGTTTCAGATGAAAACTGTTATTTAAAAAATCATGATATTGTGAATTTGGGCAAAAACACGCTGTTGCAACCGAAGGCTTGATGAACCAAGTTTAGTGTGATAACACAGCAACGACATGCTTGGTGAGGTTACTGTCAGCTCTGTGTTCAGTGGTCTGTGTCAGAGTCTCTTCCTCTTCAGCAGCTGCAGTCGCCTCCTGCTGTAACAGCTCAGTGTCTCTGCAGTCTGACTGAGGGAGGTTTTTGTACGACGACAAATCACTGTGTGAACACATAAGCATTGCTTATGACATGGAAACTCTGACAGTAATAAACTGCTGCATCTTCAGTCTGAACTCCACTGATGATCAAAGTGAAGTCAGAGCTGCTTCCACTGCCACTAAACCGAGCTGGTGTTCCTGATTCACGTGTGCTCACATATTTTATTAGGAGCTTTGGAGGCTGTCCAGATTTCTGTTGATACCAGTGCATATAATCTCCAACACTAGAGTGTCTGTAAACAGCTTGGCTGGTCTTACAGGTGAGAGTGACAGTGGATCCTGGAGTAAATGTCACCACTGGAGGCTGAGTCACAGTCACCTGAGCGCTGCATCCTGCAGACAAAAACAAATCATTCATTTATCAGCAGAAATCAATGAGAGATTACAACTGCAATACACCAATAATGTCAGATACATTTTCAGAACCTCTCACCCTGGCTCAGAAAACCCAACATGACAAGCAGAGTTATTGTCAACATCATCCTGATGCAGTTTTCAGTGTGAAAACAGTGCATGAAAACAGTTCAGACTCTCTGTGACATGTGAACTTAAAACTGTGAGGAGCAGTGATGCATTAAAGTCATGCAAAACACATTTGAGAAGGCAAACACACACCTGTCCTTGTGAAACAGAAAAAGCAGAGGTGAGTTGGAGAAACAGTTCATTATCTTGAAGATCATTCGGTCGTTCGCAGCCCATTTAGACAAGTGTGACTTTATGCTCCTTCTTTAATGGTTCTTGTCTTCATCATAAACAATCTCCTTTTCTCCAAAAATTTCTTTATTGATTTTAACACTGGAGTGGTCCTGTAATACATTCAGATGCACAGTTGAGGTACAGCAACAGTAACAGAGTACTGATGAAAGGTTCCAGTTTAATTTCCACCCACCAGAACCCTAAATTCACCCACCCAGAACAGAAAAACAACCCTTAGGAGGATACACACTCACACACAGAGGACATGCAAACAATGACAACAAACAAAGAGTACATAAGCAGGTTAACAATTGAAGTAAAGTAAACACATAAGTACTCAAAAGGGAGAGGGGAGAAGAATAAATAAATAAATAAGTAAATAAACAAGTAAAAATAAGTAAATAAATAAAATAAAAAATAATAATAAAAAAAGAAAATTGAATAAATAAATCGAATAAACTAAAGTAAATAAAAATGAGTAAAAAAAAAAAAAATAATAAAAAGGGAGGTGGGGGTGGGGTTCAGTGCTCAGTTAGTCATTCTCAACGTCAATAGTTAGGGAGTCTACGTGGGTTAGAAAAGGTTGCTACATCTCATGGAGTATACATAAGGAACCCTTGAGGGAGAAGCTCATCTTCTCCAAGGTGATACATTGCATCATTTCATGGATCCATTTATTGTGAGTGTGTGTGTGGGGGGGGGGGGCATGAGTCCACTTCAGGAGGATGAGCCTTCAAGCGAGTAAGGAGGAAAATGCAATAATGTGCTGTGAGGATTTAGACAGGCCATGCATGGGGGAGATGCCGAAGAGGATTTATGGTTCGGCCTATAGCTTCGCTAATTGTTTTGAATATTGCAGACCAGTATTCCGATAGTCGTGGACAGGTCAGAAACATATGGACATAGTCAGCAGGGGAGCCATTACACTCATTTGTTCTGTCGGGGTAGGTTTTGGCTAGCCTGGCATTGGTGAGATGGACTCTGTGCAAAATTTTGCATTGCAGCAGGCCATGCCTTGTGCATATGGAGGAAGTGTGTATGTGGTTTAATATTCATTCCCAAAATTCATCACATAGTGAGGTCCCAAGGTCTCGGTCCCAGGCAGCCCTTAAGGAGGTCAGTCGGTTCTGTGACAGAGTGTGAACACGGTTATAGACACTTGTTATGAGGCCTTTTCGTCTGGTGCTGAGAGATAGGAGTTGATCCATTATTGTTTCTGGGTGGCTATTTGGAAAGTGAGGGTTGAGGGATTTCACAAAGTGTCTAATTTGAAAGAAGCGACGCAGGTGTGCGTTTGGAAGGTCAAACTTGGCTGATAGGTCTGCAAAGGAGGGAAAAATATCCTCAATAAAGAAATCCTTGATAAAGCGGAGGCCTTTTCCAGACCAAGACCTAAAGGCCGTATCAGAGTGGGAAGGAGAGAATAAGTGATTGTGGTAGATTGGGGAGAGAATAGAGGGAGAGTGTAGGCCAAAGGTCTTTCTGAATTGGGTCCAAATCATCAAAGTGTTCTTAACATCAGGGTTAGAGCTGATTCGCCTAGCGGTGGTGGGCAATTGAGAGCAGACTACTGACCAAAGCGAATAGCGTGAGGAGGAAGTCTCAAGCCAGACCCACTGCGGGTATTCATCTTGTGTGTTGAAGGAGGACCAGTAGGGGAGCTTACTGATGTTGCTGGCCCAGTAATAATAATCTCCTTTTCAGTTCTTTACAGTATCACATGACTCTGTCTCCTTTAACAGGTCTATAGCACCCCCTGCTGGCAAACTGTATCAACTGAGCTCACTGACGTGCCACAACATTGATTGACTTTGAATTTCTTCAATAATTTCACGTCACTGATGAACCAGGTGTTGCGTTTAGAATAATGTGATGTAAACACATCTGACCTCAGCATATTTTGGGCCCGCTCAGTGTTTCAGTTGATCGTCCCAGCTACCTGATCTTTCTCTCTACACATCACAGCAACATCAGCACGTCTCTCCTTTCAAAACAGGATATAAATTAATTAAAAGATCAACATCACAACATAAAGATGAAACGTAACGCACACCAAAGGTTGTAGTGAGGTTCTGATCACTGGTAGAAGACCTGCAGCTTGAAAACAAGTGTCACACACTCTGGCTCCATATGCATTTCTCTGTCATTCAGATGACACTTCAGCTCTCAGGCTTTGTCAAGACCAACAATCACACTCACACACAAGCACACTGATTGGTTATATAGGTCACACCCTGGACACACAGCTGATAGTGATTAGATCATCATATGACACCATTAGGTTGAGCACAAAACAATCAAGAGGCCCTCAACAAATCAAAACCTTTGAACAAAACAGTTTTTTAGCTACACTACATTTAAAAATGTTAAAATACACAAGTATTAAGTGGATTTCTAAAACACAAATGGCAAAAGTTTAGACATCAGCTCTAACTGAACATCAGAAACAACTTTATCTAAATATCCAGTAAGTCGAGGAACATACAGAAAACATTTCAAGTCATAATTCATAATCAGTCCATTTGGGTAACAGAGTTCTTAGACAGTGGATCCAATCATGTTCCCTCCTGGAAAGTAAAACATCCAAATGACCTCCTCTTGCAGTGATTGTTACCTTCTCAATCCAATGATGGAGGTCATGAGAAAATGGAATGCTTCCTGTCAAAGAGAAATGCATATGGACAAAGAGCATGGATACCAAGAGGCGAAGCTTAATAGAACGCCCCATAGCAACAAATTCCCCATGGTTTCGTCCTACCGCCGCCATTTTGGACCGTCAGCAGACCGCAGCACAGTCGCTTGCATACAAAAACACACAGACAAACTGAAGTATATCACTATTAATTATGCTTACAATGCTACTCACCTCGTGATAGCTTTGTCACAGCTGCGTTTTCACGCTTTGGTAAAGCAAAATATAGACTTTAAAAAAAACAAAACGAGGAAAAACGGCTGAGATGGCATCTCTACATATTACATCCACTTATGAGAAGATTAACTTAATTACTCCTTCAAAATCACCCCCATAAGCCAATCTACCATAAATAAATAAATAAATAAATAAATATTTTAACAAGTAACACATTAATGGCGACGTCACATAGTCAGGAATAAAGATTTATTTACAGTTTGTACAGTAAGGGGACAGTAATAATAATAATAATAATATATAGNTAACACATTAATGGCGACGTCACATAGTCAGGAATAAAGATTTATTTACAGTTTGTACAGTAAGGGGACAGTAATAATAATAATAATAATATATAGGCTATTTTAA